ATACGAGCGAAAAATCATTAGGTAGCTTTGATGAAAATTTACTGTGGACAATGCCATATGAAATACAAAATCGGGAATATCTGTGAAACCGTTCAAAATTTTGATATACTCTAAATACAAAAAATGTTCATTTTTTAATTCTCCATCTATTCAAAAAATAATATACAGGGCGTTCCATTTAAAAAACGAAGAAACATAATTTTAAATTTTAGAAAGTTTGGCGTAGAATTTTGAACATCCGGTATGGTTTACGATTTCCATATTTATAGCAAAGTAAGAACAGACCATCTAAAGTAAATATCTAATATAGTTTTGATTTCAGTTCTTGAGAACAGTTCTTGTATTATTAATATTTTTTTTAAGAAAGGCTGAAAAATATATAATTTTTATTTATTTCTTAATATCTCTGAAATTATCGAAGTATATTTACTCATGTCTTAGGATTATGTAAACTGATCTGAAAGGAAGCCAAAAATCCAATAATATACAGGGTGTTCCATTTAAAAAAAAATTATCCCGATCCACTCACACTTTTTTGAGCCTCCCAATAGAAGTTAAAATATTTTCCTGAAATACATCCTAGTACATAATTAAGTTTGTACTTAAATAAAATTTCCAAGTTTTTTATTCTAGGAGCTACAGCTGCCCGACGCACTATTGCCGGACCCTGTATATTTATTTTAATAATTTATCCATTATTTATTTCGATTTTTTCATAATAATTTATGAACTAACATCAATATTTGAATGAAAATTGGTGTCTAGGTATTTTTTAACATGAGAAATTTCATTTCGATTCCAATATGACTTCTTCTTGTAGGGAGCGCGACAATGAGTAAAACAAACTTTTCGTCCGTACCTGTATGAAACTTCTGAGTGAAAAATATACATTTTCGACATTTTATACGTAGAAAAGACCTCTCGACACAAAAAAACCGACGCGTGATAGTTAGTTGACTGAATTTATAAATTTGGGGTCTTTTTATTTTTGTTTAATTAATCATTCTTTTTCTAAAAAAATATTATGAATCAGTTTCTGTTGAACCTTTGACACAAAAACGTTTTGAGTTCAGTCTAATAAATATTTTGTTAGCATGTTTAATTTTTGTCAATAATGACATCTATTGATTGTTTCGATTCCGAATATCTCGAGAACCTACTCGTAGCGATTTTTACCAAGATACTTTTTTTACGTAGAAAACGGCGGAAATATATAGGGTGTCCCAGGCTGAGCGTGCATTAAGAGTTTCTAGAGAACCACAATATCTAGATCAAAGATTATTTGTACATCATCGTTTTACAACGAGATCTATCGATTAAAATATTTTCAATATGGCGGTACTTCCGGAAATACCGGAAGTTGATAGCAACTTTCTAATTTTTAATAGGTGCCCCCATTTTTTACACTTAAATTCTTTGTATAATTCTATAAATATTGATGTTATACACTCTATACCTTACATTAAGCGTTTTTGAGAAAAAAAATATTTGAAATTTTTGGACGAAAAAACAACCTGTCAAAAAAATGTGTATAGCCCAAAAGTCAAATTTAGTGATTACCACAGCTACTGTGGCATAAAGGGAAGACATGTAGCTATCTATTTCAAAAATTAAATTGTTCAAATGTTATATAATAATGACGGTAGCTGTCATGAAATTGAGCGATTAAAAAATGATTATAAATCATTTTTTTCAAATGGAAACCAATTTTTTTTATTTCACTAGTGAAAAGGTTTTTCAATTCGTTACTTTTTTATCTATACATGTTCCTATACCTAAAATAAATTGTTATTAAGTTATTTAAGATTTAGTTTGAGAACGTATATTTTTCTTGATTTTATCTAGCTTCCTTTAACATTGTTAAGTAAAATGAAACACTAAATCACCACAATACACCAAAACACTTTTACTTTTTCTCTGGACACGCGTTTCGCTAACCATGTTAGCATCATCAGCAGATGATTAAAACTGATGATGCTAACATGGTTAGCGAAACGCGCGTCCAGAGTAAAAGTAAAAGTGTTTTGGTGTATTGTGGTGATTTAGTGTTTTATTTTGCTGTGTAACACCAAAGGCTCCAACCCCCAACTGTAATCATTATTAAGTGTCAAACAGTCAGATAATTTATTTCCATCTGTCAGAAAACGAATTATTTGAATTTCCTATATTATAAATACTGCCTGCCCCCCCTAAGAGTTTAAAAAGTGTATTTATAAAAATATATCTCCATATTTTCACTCTTTAATGATATCTAATAGTTTATATTATTAATTTTATTAATAATATATCGTATGATTGCAGAAAAAAACCGCGCAAAGTTAGCTTGGAAATGATGATTGATAAGATACTGCTTTTTGAACAAAGTGTCACTATATGACATCTATTGTTTTACATCACTTGACGTTTAAAGTCATAGGCTACTCTTTAAAATCAAGAAAAATATACGCTTTAAAACTAAATCTTAAATAACTTAAAAACGATTTATTTTAGATATAGGAACATGTATTGTCAAAAAATAACGAATTGAAAAGCCTTTTCACTAGTGAAATAAAAAAGTGCGTTTCATTTGAAAAAAATGATTTATGATAATTTTTTAATTCATCAATTCCATGACAGCTGCGGCTATTATTACATGACATTCGAATAATTTAATTTTTGAAATAGATAGCCACATGTCTTCTCTTTATAGCACAGTGGCTGTGGTAATCACTAAATTTAACGTTTAGACTATATACATATTTTTGAAAAGCAGTTTTTTTCGTCCAAAAATTTTAATTTTTTTTTCTCAAATACGGTTAATGTTTGGTATAGAGTGTTTAATATCAAAATTCATAAAAATTTATAGAGAAATTAAGTATGTAATAAAAAATGGGGGACCCATTTAAAATAAGAAAGTTGTCCGGTATTTCCGGAAGTGTCGCCATATTGAAAACATTTTTAATAGATAGATCTGGTTGTAAAACAATGATGATGTAGTTCTCTAGAAACTTCTAATGCACGTTCAGCCAGGAACATCCTGTATATTACACTAAGTAGTTTTATACAGGTAGGACAAAGAGCGAACTTTGAAGAGTAATAATAATTATTACTCTTTAAACCAGTTAAAAAATATGTAGGTGGCGCCCTCTACAAGCAGGAGTCATATAGATACCGAAATCAAATTTCCCATATCAAAAAACTCCCAGGCAATTCTACATTCAATGAAAAATTAGAAATAAAAGTAAAATTTGTACATCCTATATTTATACAAACTTTTTTACTTATACAGGGTGTTTCAAAACAAATGCGCAAAACTTCAGGGGGTGATTCCTTGTTCAAGATAAAGGGTAGTTTGCTTCATAAATGTTGGGTCAAAAGTCAACCATTAGGGAGATATCGCGGTACAAAGATGGCGGAAAAATAATGTTCTTATTTTTTATCTTGAAAACGAAAAGAGATAGACTAATGAAACTTTATGGAAGCATTACTGTTATGAAAACACACTTTCTGGTAATTTTTTCACTTTTTTAAAATGAGTGGAAGGGGTTGAAATAAACTACCCCTATCATTCTTGTTAACGAAATTTAAAGAAAAATCTTATCAAACACATGCAAAAAAAATAATTTGGATAGCTTAGTTTGTTTAGAGACTTTTTTTTATCTCTTGTATTTTTTTATAAAACTCACCGATTTGAAATTAAAAAAATAAAATGTAAAGCATTACATGTCAGGACTAAAAATTTTTTTAGATTAAGAATCTAGTGATAATAATGATAATAATAATAATCTAGATAATAACGTATTGCAGTAGGGTAATGTCAAATAAAACAATATTAGAAACATCCTAAAAAGTGACAGCGGCCGACTAGATTTTTTCCTAAAGAATTACAGCTGCCCACTAGATTCTTTATCTAAAAATGTTTTTTGTCCTGACATGTAATGCTTTACATTTTATTTTTTAATTTCAAATCGGTGAGTTTTATCAGAAAAACACAAGAGATAAAAAAGTTTCTAAATAAACTAAACTATCAAAATTAATTTTTTTGCATGTGCTTGATAAGATTTTTCTTTAAATTTCATTAACAAGAATGATAGGGGTAGTTTATTTCAACCCCTTCCACTCATTTTAAAAAAGTGAAGAAATTACCAGAAAGTGTGTTTTCATAACAGTAATGCTTCCGTAAAATTTCATTAGTCTATCTCTTTTCGTTTTCAAGATAAAAAATAAAAACATTATTTTTCCGCCATCTTTGTACCGCGATATCTCCCTAATGGTTGACTTTTGACCCAACGTTTATAAAGCAAACTACCCTTTATTTTGAACAAGGAATCACCCCCTGAAGTTTTTCGCATTTGTTTTGAAACACCCTGTATATTTTTATTTGCAGAATATGTAACCGAAGTTTCCCGAATACAATTCGGACCACCCTGTATACTCTGCAATTTTAATGAACGTAATGTATATATATAGTTCAAACACATTTTGTATATCCTCTGTTTGTTGAAACAGCTAATTAAATAAATATGTCGAGAAAAACATACGAAATATAAAAAACATAACGAGGGTCACAGTGCAGTACCGCATCTCCTTTTTGATACGATTTTTCAGGCAATCCAAAAAACATACCTAATTTTATATTAAATTATTTTTTTTAATGAATTATTATATTATAGAGCCGAAATATCAGGACTCTATTACCGAATAAAATATTTTGAATTATTTTTGTAAAATATTGCAAACAAATTTTTAAAAAATAATAATATAATTTTATTAAAAAAATCATACGAGGTCCTGCCTTGTGACCCTCGATAAGTGATTTATCTATAGAAATCTTTTTGTCGTTTTGGGTTTTTACAATTCAGTATATTTTTTGATCGTCTTCTTTTAACAATTAGTTAATGATAAAGGATAAAGTACTAGTTAAATAAACTAATTCAATAAACAGAAATATGCTGAATTATTACGCTTAAGTTTACCAATATACAAGGTATTATTATTTATACGAATTTTATAATACTTACAATAGCAGCCTACGTCATCATCTTCATTATCGGCTGTTCCAGAATTTTCAATTTCCAGTGCCATTGCTTAACTAATTATAGAATTATTGTCAGTGAGAAAATCGAAAATACTGCAGGGTGATGGTTTGCGGCGTTGTTTATTTTTGTGGTTGTCATGGTAATAGTTGAGATGGTGATAGAAAATAACAGAACAGTGTTGTTTATCAATATTTTAGTTGCATGTGGTGAATTTAAAGTACAAACGACATTCCAAGAAACAAGAAACGTTGGAAAACAGGCCCGGCATCAACGAGAAATATTTTAGTTGCTTGATTTTCTATTTCTAAGGATAGAAAGCAATCACGCAATTTTTTTTAAACAGTTGTAAAAATAAATATTCCATATTTTATAACTGTTATGGTGTACGAAAAATTTAGAGCACTGATTAAATATTGTCTAGCAAATGGAGTGTTGCTTTCACAAGATGTTTTGTGGTTGCTTCATTATTGCTTGACAATAAATCGTTGGGTTGTGTTTAATTTATGCAGGCAGTCCATATGTTACATTTATGTTATTATTAGGAATTTACGAAAAAAAGATGGAATAAGACATGCAGGAGCATTGTACAGGGTGTCTCATTTTGGTTGAAATCATGCGGTATCTCGGTTATTAGTAAAGATAGGAGGATGCGGTTTGCACAAACCTGTCCTACTTTTTGTCACACGAAAGATCCAGTAAACAACATTTTCATAGCCCTCATCGTTTCTGAGCTAGAGGGTATTTTCGAAAATTTTGCAATTTGGGACAGCCCCCGTATCTCCATCATTGTGGATGATACCGAGAAAGTAAAAACTAATTCTTGTAGAACATTTTAAGTAGAATAAACAGTTTTCACCTTCTTGATTCCTTTAACAATAACAGAGATACAGGGGGTGTCCCAAATTGCAAAATTTTCAAAAAGACCATGTAGCTCAGAAACGAAGAGGACTATACAAATTTTTGTTACGGCATCTTCCGTTTGACAAAAAAGTGGATTAGGTTTGTGCAAACCGCACCCTTCTATTTTTACTAATAACGAAGATATCGTATGATTTCAACCAAAATGGGACACTCTGTACAATAAGATTTTTAAACATCACACTATGGTTTCTAGAAGCTACTTTTTTGGCCAAAATTAAACAACTTACATTTAATGGAAAATGTTGACTGTAAATTTGTGTTTTTAATAAAATAAAAAAAGACTATTAAAATGAAGGTATTTTTAATCTTCTCATTCAAAGTGTGATTAACTTTTACCTATGAAGCATCTTCTGTATCTACTTCCAAAAAAGAAAGTTGATTAATCATCGAATCAGTGCTGTCCAAAAAACAATCTTTAGAAATATCTCTTTGCTCTTCTTCTTTTTGCATTTCTTGTTCTTGCTCTTCCTCCTCGTATTCCTCTTCTTTTCCATGCTTCTCTTCAAATTGTTCTTCACTTAACTTCTTTTAGATAAAGTCAGGTACACGAAGTAGGTTAAGTACATCGGCAGGATAACTTAATTTACAAAGCAGCCTGCACAAGTAAAGTATTTTGGAGTCTGCACAAGTAAAGCCCAATCTTGCTTATGTTCCTCGGAAACTTTTGAGGCTGTTCTCTGAGTTCTGGAAGATTGCTCCGAAAAAGGTAATCGTGGGCGGCCGGCAGATGATGTGAATGTAAGGGGTTCATTTAACTCAAGGATAAAATCCTCCTTTATCATTTCTTCGTCTTCATTTTGTTTTAAAATTAAATATTTAAGCCGCGAAGCCGCCTGCCCTCTTCTTTCAAAATTTATACAAAGGCGATTTATCTTTTTTTCCATTGTGCCTGATGTTCTTGTTCATTATTCTGAAATTTCTGTCTTACAAAATTTGAAACATACCCGTTTTTCTCAACTTTATCGGCCCCTTGTAGCCATTTTTTCAAAAGTTCTATTTTTTTCAATCGATACATAGCTGAAAAAAAAAAATTCTTTAAAAAAAAAGTTGCATCTAGTAGCAGCCAATTTTTTCTTTGATATGTTCAGAAAGGATTGTTTCAAATTTTACAATAACATCCAGCATGGAGAAACATAGAGAATTTTTTGTAAGTCAAACTAAACTTTTAACTTTTTATTTATGTTCTGTCTTAAACTCATTATTTTTAATTAATTAAAAAATAATGGACGCTGATTTTTATGTGCAATTGTTAGTGATTTCTTAAGTACATACCATAAAGTGTAAAAATAAGAATAATCCGTTTTCATATCCCACTGAAATATATCACTTAATATTCACCAAAACTCTTCCCAAAATAAACATCAACTGAATAGGCACAAATACTTCACTAGAACGTCTAAATATAAATGATAATAAGGAATAAAAATGAAAACTAAACAAAAATATATGCATGTAGTCTTCTTCATTTGTATATCTTGAGTCTAAAATATATATTTTGGCCAAAAAATTAGCTTCTAGAAATCATAGTGCATCATTCTAATGACAAATGACATAATACAGTATCTCCAGAGAAAAATAAAACACTAATTCACCTTCATACACCTAAACATTTTTATTTTTGCACTGGATGCACGTTTCAGCAGATGATTAAAACGAAAACTGGGTTAGAACTGAGTTTTAGTTTTATCCTTGTTTATATATTCTTAAAGTTGTTCAACCGACTAGACAAAATGTGCTGCTAACTGGAGGACAAATCGTGAACCTTTCAGAGTAATGTAATAATATAGCCCCGGGTTTCTGCGAACTTTAATAGTGATCAGCTGATTAAGAAATTTAAACGAAACTTTTATTTTATTGTAAATTGTGGATTATTTTTGCCTGTTATTTTAAGAATTTTTTATCTAAACCGTATTAACAAAGAAATTATTGTTTCGATATGTTGGTACATTATTTTTAATTTATGATAATGTTAATTATTGTTGATAATTAATATTTAAAAAAAAGTTACATACTTATTTTAATTTGATTTAATGCAGGTTTATAAAAGAATCAATTCATTCTTAGTTTATTTTATTCTAAATTGAGTGCTTTACGAATTTTACGATATTTTTTTTCGAAAACATAAAACTTTTTACATTTTTGATGCTAACTAATTGGCAAGGTATTATTGGTATGGAAATTAGCCAAGAAAGAAAAGAATTGGCTATAACTTGTAATTTTTCGAAAAAAACATATTGTACCTATCGCTGAAAAGCTTAAAAAATGGCGCTTTTTATGAAGTCATGGCCAACTATGGTTTACTAAAAAACATATGTTTGTGTCATATGTCAAAAATGACAGACTTTAGAAAAAAAAACAGAAAACACAAACTCATTAGGTATGTGATTATCTACAACTTTTATCTGAAAACTTTTTGTCTAAAATACCGTATGATCGAATAAAAACAGCGTCAGCGATGGCTATGAAATGACGATCAATATTTCCCATATAATTTTACATATAAAATGACAGCGATCTTAACTTCATAGCCATCGTTGACGTCGTTTTTATTAGATCATACGGTAGATTATAATGGAATTAGAGACAAGTATTAAAATAGCCAAAATTTGTTTTTTTTTCGAAATATCTAATAAGCCTTCTCCGAAAAATCCAAAAGGCGCATATTTATAACCCCACAAAACTGCAATTCTTTCCCCATTAACCGACTCTGTATCTCCAGTAGTTTCCGAGATGCCCATAGAGAACATCGTAGGAAACTCACCCTGTATAGTATTTTGAAACTAACTATTATTATTATTTGACTAGTTTAATTTGATTAATAAGGCTAAATTAATTTAATTTCAAATAAATTTGATCAGATTTTTTTTCGTATATTCTGCTACCAGAAAACCAAGATTATAACGAAGTTGAAGGAAGACAGTGTATCTATCACAATACTTAATAGAACTACTACAATTATTACAAGAAAAACAAAAAGAAGAAATACCCAAATACCCCTTCACCTACTACTGAACTACAAAATAAACGAATATAATCTCTTAAAAACACTACACAACTACTTATTCTTGTATTCTACACTGAACAAATTATCAAACTTACTAATTTATCAAACAAAAAGAAAAAATAACAAAATTATCCCTTCACCTACTACTTAACTACAAAATAAACTATATAAAAACACTACTAAACTATTTTTGGTAGACTACACTAACATGCTACACTAAACACTATAATTAAACTTAATTATTAATAATAAATTAATCTAATTTTACACTACACCTACAAAGAAAAAAGAAATATGAACATTTTCTAAAACTAGAAGAAACAGAACTTCCATACGTGCGACCAGGATAATAGGTCAAGAGGACAAAGATTATAAAATACTTTAAAATGTGCATTCAGAAAGAAAAAATACCTCCAAAATTATCTAAACAAACATTTTTATTTCTTATCAGTGAGAAGCATCGGCCTTGTCGGCCTTGAAGAATTTGTCGGGTATTTACAATGGTCGAATTGTATAATTGCCAGCTTTTATAGCATATATCTAATAGATAAAAAGTATCTGGTCGATTAGTAACCAATTTTCACAGTCCGAAAATTATCGATTTTTATTTTCTCTGTTTTTATTGGTAGCTTCAAAATTCAGAGTAACAAAAAATATTTTTCTGTAGGAAAACCAGTCCTGCCATCTAGTAGTCTTAGTCCATAAACGTCTTAGGTTGATCTACTTTAAAAATATATATACAAGGGTTTTATTCATCTGCTGATGATGCTAACATGGTTACCGAAACGCGCGTCCAGTGCAAAAGTAAAAGTGTTTTGGTGTAATGTGGTGAATTAGTGTTTTATATTGCTGTTGTAACACCAAAGGTTCCAACCCCCCTGTTGTGTACAACTGTAATCTCCAGAGTGAAAAAAATCTAACAATAAAAGAAGTAACAGTTCATTTTTGAATTAAAATAGACAGACCACTACTGTTATGACATAAATTGTAATAAAATAAAATCACTCGACAGGCAGCATCCAAGTGTACTTGGTCCAAGTATACTTTTATGCTGCCATATAACTGTACTTATATTAATGCTGCGCGCGATAAAATGTTATTTAAATCTTAAATAACTTAAACACGATTTATTTTAGGTATAGGAACATGTATAGTTAAAGAGTAACGAATTGAAAACCCTTTTGATTAGTGAAATAAAAAAGTATGTTTCAATTTTAAAAAAATGATTTATGATAATTTTTTAATCGCTCAATTCCATGACAGTTGCCGGCATTATTATATGACATTTGAACAATTTAATTTCTGAAATAGATAGTCACATGTTTTCTCTTTATGTCACAGTGGATATGGTAATCACTAAATTTGATTTTTAGGCTATACAATTTTTTTTAACAGGTTTTTCGTCCAAAACTTTTGAATTTTTTTTTCTCAAAAACGGTTAATGTTAGATATAGAGCGTTTAACATCAATATTCATAGAATTTTACAGAGAACTTAAGTATGTAATAAAAAATGGGGCCACCCATTTAAAATAAGAAAGTTTCCGTCAACTTCCGGTATTTCCGGAAGTGCAGGCATATTGAAAATATTTTTAATTAATAGATCTCGTTGCAAAACAATGATGTGCAAAAAATCTCCGATCTAGATATTGTGGTTCTCTCGAAACTTCTAATGCACGCCCAGTCTGGGACACCCTGCATATCGGAAGAAAAAGTCCATTAAAAAAAGTGAAGTTCATAAATTCATCTTTTCTTTTTTTTATCAATTCCTAAAGCGGTTTGATATTGTCATCTTTGTATAAGATCTATCAACACTATCAGCAAAGCCATAAAGGCTCTCATGATATGCAGAAGACTGGCCGGAAATAGATGGGGCTGCTCCCCTAACATTTTGCGCTGGATGTATACCATGATAGTAAGACCCATGATTACTTATGGAGCAGTTGCCTGGTACACAAAACTAGAGCAACGGACGGCAAGGCTAAACCTGTGCAAAGTCCAGAGACTAGCATGCGTTTGCATCACAGGAGCCATGAGAACCTGTCCAACAGCAGCAATGGAGGTCATTCTAGATCTAACACCACTGCACATTGTCATTGGTAGATATGCCAATGCGACAATGATTAGAATGGTCACTAACGGAATTAGTACTGGGAGAATTGTCAGATCAGGGGCTTGGAACACCTTCAAAAAGGAAATACCACTCCTGCAACTCCCAGTGGACGATATGCCAAGAACGTACAACTTTGAGGAACATCTCAATGTAGTATTGAGCAATAAAAAGGATTGGAAGAGCGAAACGCTTGCCCAGCAGTTAAAAGACCATACCATTATATAATACTAACTTGGTATACCATACTAACTTTGTATACTGATGCTTCCAAAACCAATACGGGAACAGGGATCGGAGTATTTGGGCCGAGAGCTAAATACTCCGAACCAATGGGCACTTACCCTAGTATCCTACAGGCAGAAATCTACGCTATCGAAAGATGCGTACAACTTATCTTAGATAGGAACTATCGGAAACAAGAAATAGCCATCTTGTCTGATAGTCAAGCAGCGTTAAAAGCGATCAACTCAGTATCAATCAATTCGAAATTGGTCAAAGAATGCATAGAGAAGCTGAATAAATTAGTCAAAGAAAACAAAGTCCTCCTACTCTGGGTGCCTGCTCACCAAGGGATAGAAGGCAATGAAAAGGCAAATAATTTAGCTAGAAAAGGAGCGAACACTCCACTAACTGGACCAGAACCGTTCTGCTTTCCAAGTGGTAACCAACTCAAGGCGGAACTCAAAAACTTGGAAGATTCCATCCGCAACCTGGAATGGGAATCTTGCAACGGTCTAAGACACTCGAAGAAGTTTTTAAGGGCTTATGATCAAGAAAAATCACAGATCTTCCTGGGTTTAAGTAAGAACAATCTTCGGATTGTCACCGGGTTTTTAACAGGACACTGTCTCCTCAATGAACACCTCAGTAGATTGAAACTAAGAAGAAACGGCGAATGCAGATTCTGTGGGGAAGATGGGGAAACACCAGTACACCTCATCACTGAGTGCGCCGAGACGACAACCATTCGTGCCATGAATTTTGGTACGACTGATATTGGAGATGGAGAACTACCCTCTATAAAACCGTCCCAGATACTGGCTTTTGTCAAAGCTCTGGGACTGTATGATGAGTTATAACTCAAGAAAGGGGGACACAATAGATCTGTAAGGTCGCAGTGATTAACCCCCCTCCCTCTAATTCTAAATTCTAAATTCTAATAAGGTCTATTTGTCCAAATATAGTGATTATACAGTAGAACTTCGGTAATCCGGACAGATATAGTTTAGGTGGTCGTCCGGATTGGTGAATTGTCCGGATTACCGAAGTTATGCTGATAATGAAACACAGGTTAATGTTTTAGCTTTATTTACATATTTATATGTACCAACATTAACTCAAGTGTTTTACAAATAATATGTGTATGTACGTATAATAGAAAAAGTTTAAAACATATCCAACTTTTGCGGCTATCTGGCGAAAAGGAATATTATGTACGAGTATTTAAAGGCAAAAAGTCACCAATTTTTTTTTGTATAAGGTTCTCATTGTGAAGCTTTCTTGATAGTTCTAAATGTTTTTTTCAATAAAAGGACTTCTTGATAATTCAATTTGTTTTCTTCTGCCCACTGCACGCATTTTGAAAAACACTGTACTGCTTCTATGTGTTTGATTTTTGTAGGAATGTCAACAACCTCCTCTTCTTCATCGTTTGTGTTTGATTGTACCGATTCAATTATTTCCTCGTCGCCAACATTATCAACAGCTATTTCGTCTCTTCCTGTCGCCCAGTTTCTTATTTCTTCGTCATTCAGTTCACTTTCCGGATCTATAACTTTTAACATTTTTTTCAAGTCGTTGAGTTTCGCAGCTTCTTCAAGTAGGCTTTTTCTTAGATCGGCCAGCAAAATATCATCTTCTTCATCTGACACCAATTGAGGCCATATTCCATCCCAGCTTTTTTGAATATTCTTTTCGGTTATGGACTTCCAAGCAGAGTCGAGAGTATTCACTGCATCCAGAAGACTAAATTTCTTCAGGAGTTGCATTGTGTCTTTGTTTTCTTGTGATATAATGTGGGTCAGCAATTGCCTTCTATAAGAAACCTTGATATTTTGTATCAAGTTCTGATCCATTGGCTGAACTAATGCAGTACAATTAGGAGGCAAAAATACCACTATGAAATTTGATTCGTATTGAGCTCTTCTTCGGGTGGGTGTGAAGGCGCATTGTCAACAAGAAGCAGTGCCCTGCATGGCTTATTGGCGTTACTCAGATATTGTTTCACTTCAGGAACAAAGATTGTTTTAAACCACTCAGAGAATATGTTTCGGGTCATCCATCCTTTGGTACTAGCCTCGTATTTCACAGGCAACTGTGCATTTTTGAAAACTCGGGGGTTCTTAGATTTACCTAACACAAGTAACGGCAACTTATGTGTGCCTGATGCATTTGAGCATGGCATAAAGGTTACACGGTCTTTTGAAACTTTCCTCCCTGGTGCCGATTTCTCATCTTTATGCACCCACGTTGTGTTTGGCAAAACCCTCCAAAAAAGTGCGGATTCATTCGCATTGTAGACTTGCTCTTTAGTTAATTGCATTTTCTCAATCAGGGCTTGCAGTTTAAGTTGGAAAGGAGCAACTGCTTCAGCGTCACTTGAAACACGCTCTCCGCATACTTTTAAAAAACGAATGCCGCGTCTTGCCTTAAATTTGTCAAGCCATCCTGAACTAGCTTGAAAGTTGGTCTTTCCAGTGATGCGCTCATAAAAAAATCTGGCTTTTGTGCGCAAGACTTCAGGACTTAGAGACAGGAATGTGATTTTTACGTTGCTGTAGAAACCAAGTGTATAACGCCTCTTCCACATCAGGATTCTCGGGCTTTTTCATAACTTTTCTCTGGTCTAAAAACATTACATATCTTTAGTGCAAACTCAAAACCCAGCATTTATTCATAAAACTTACCTATATCAGTGTACGACCTCGCAACAAAATTTCGAATCTTCACTCTGTTCTTCTTTATATCGGATACTGTTGATTTTGGTATCTTGAAAAGTTTCGCAACATGCCGAACACTACCACCTGCATCTAAACTGTCAAGAATTTTACACTTCTCTTTAATAGTAGCAGAGCAATGGACGCGTTTCGTTGGAGTCATTTTTTACGTGGTCTAACACTCGGCGCCAAATAAATACTACGTACGACTCGACTGGACAAGCCGCTGCATGTATAAAAATATTTCTTTACATATGTATACATACTAGTATACTTTTTCGCATTTAGCCGTTGTAATTTGTCATGCTTTTTAGCAGTGTCCGAATTACAGAAGGTAAAAATCTGAAAATGTCCGAACTGTAGCGGGTGTCCGATTGACTGGAGTGTACGGTTTACGAGGTGTACGGATTGCCGAAGTTATACTGTATTTAGAAAAAAAATATTTGTTAAGCGCTATTATAACAATTGGAGTTGTGAATCAAATCTGTCACTTTATACTCAACTGAGTGACACATTATCATTGAATCAAAAATTGTCCATGTATATTCTTTTTGTAATTTTAAAGACTTAAACTTTTTTGAATTGTATTATTTGTATTGTGTATTTTTTGTTGTTTGTATTTTTTTTGTGATTTTGTTGTTTGTGAGTGCTATGTCGATGAAGCTGTTTTGGCTTTTTGTACAATAAAGCGTTGTTTGTTGTTTGTTGTTGAGTACAATTATGAAAAATATTTCATTTATTTACATTTTATTACAAATAATACAGTTTATCAAATTTCAGACTTATTTCCTAGTGATATCAGATGCTTAAAGTTTTTATTTATGTACATACAATTATTGTTTTTAAAAAATAGAATTTTATATCAATCCATCACAATCCAATATTAACTTCTATCAACTCTATGAACAATGATCATCATTGACATTATTCGTTGCAGAGTTCCATCCAAAAACAAAATATCCTGCTACGAGTCCAAAAACAACAGCCAGAGCCAGCCATGCATTGTATGTCATAAAAATTAACATCAGGAAATAACTGACGATCACCTGGACGGCTTGTAGCAATGTTTGAATGAGGTGGGATTTGCTCATAATAGATACTCTGAAATAATATGTATTTATTAATTGGTCCTATATTATTATGACGTCTTTGTGTCTTTATACCTTAAGTTTTTATTTTATCTATTATTAATTATAATATATTTAGTGTCATCTAAATGTTCGTAATTATAATTGTGAACTAAATTATATCACTGAGTTTCTGTTTATAATGAAAAATCCCGCAATGCTCTAGATTTCCGTTAAATATTTACAAAACTTATTTCGTTTTAAAGGAGAAAGCCAAAAATGTTCACTATTTTCTTCCCAAAAGTTCTGATTATTTTCCAAATTTTCAAAATTTCAAAGCGCTTGTTTACTTCCAGTATAAAAAAATATTAATATACCACCCTGTATATGTATAACTAGAAATAAATATGATATGCCATTCAAAACTAGATATACTTACTGTGTGAATCTAGCATCTCCAGCTCCCTTGTTACCTTGTCTGATGCTTATTGCTCTATCTTTAAGATATCCCCTAAAATACCAGATCAAGATCATATAGAGAAGTACAGGGTGTCCCATTTTAGTTGAAATCATACGGTTTCTCCGTCATTCGTGAAGATAGAAGGGTGCGGTTTGCACAAACCTGTCCCACTTTTTTGTCAAACGGAAGATGCCGTAAACAAAATTTTCATAGCCCTCTTCGTTTCTGAGCTACAGTGTCTTTTTGAAAAGATGTTCGTGAAGGAAAAATGTTTTTGAAAAAAAAAGTCTTGAAAAAAGGTCTTGAAAATTGTTTATTGTAGAACTTGTAACAGTGGCGTAGTCTGTTATTTTACGAAAATAATATTTTTAAAGATATGAACTAAAATTATGTTTTCTTAAATGGAACCTATACTAATATATAAAATCCTTAAGTGACTGACATACTGATTAATCACGATCCTGCACAAACCATTCAACGTAAGAAGCTCAATTTTGGCATACAGGTTGATTCTAGGGTGTAGAGGTTCGATAAGAAGGGATTTTTCGAAATACCAGTTCCAAGAGGGTGAAACCACCAATATTACAATATTTTTTATTTAAAAAACGGTCAAGTTTCCGAAAAAACGCTTAAACACGGATATTTTATTTTGTTTTTTTACATATTTTAAGATTTCTTAAAAATGTATACAGGGTGTTTCGAAAAATCTGGTCATTGATTAATTGGCTTAAAGCGCTTGACGTAAAAAGCTGATTTTTGGAAAACAGATTGACTTTAGGGTGTAGAGGTTCGATAAGAAGGGATTTTTCAAAACTCGAATTCAAAGGGGTGAAACTATCCCTCAAATATTAAAATATTTTTTATTTAAAAACCTGTGAGTTTTTCGGAGAAACTCTTAAACACGTATATTTTATTTTGTTGTTACATATTTTAAGATTTTTTATAAATTTACACAGGGTGTTTCATAAAATATGACCATTGAGTAATCACGATTCTGCTTAAACTGCTTGACGTTTAAAGCTGATTTTTGGTAAACGGATTGACTGTGGGGTGTAGAGGTTCGATAAGGAGGGGTTTCTCGAATCTCAAATTCCAAGAGGGTGAAAACGCCCCTCAAATATTACAATATTTGTTATTTAAAAGACGGTTAGCCTTTCGGGAAAACGCTTGGATAAGCATAATTCATTTGGTTTTTTTACGTATTTTGAAATTTTTTAAAAAATCAGACAGGGTGTTCCAAAAAGTTAATAGGTAATTTCTTAACCACGATTCTGCTTAAACTGCTTGACGTAAAAAGCTTATTTTTGGCAAACGGATTTTTCGAAAGTCAAATTCAACAAAATGAAACTACCTCTCAAATATTACCAAATTATATAATAATATCGCCATATTGTTTTTTCTCATGCTGACATAAATGTGAGAAAATTTTATCCAGTTTGTATGTTAATGGAAATTCTTGCTTTGCTTTATCATCACCATTAAAAATGATTAATTCGACGCGAACGAAGTCGTTGGTACACGCTAGTATATTTATAAATTATATGATCTGGCTTGCTATAAGCTTCTCAAAAATATATATCACTCTATATTTATATATTATATAAAAAAGATATTAAAGATCATATTTATTAGTAGGCCATGATTGATAATAAAAGAAACAAAAGAATTATTAAAAGTATACTGCTATCTGTCTATTGTTTTATTTTGGGAGCCATTAATAAATTCTTTATAAATTATGACAGCTTAACTCTCTACCGCTATTTGTAAATCTTGGAAGCTATCGTAATGGAACTTTTAGATATTCCTTCAACTAATTTACGCGAAACATAATTTTAGTAAGAAGGGGCTTCCCCTCGCAACTTTGAAAATATTAGAATTTTGTTAAATTATTATTTCTCAAATCAATGAATTGGAACCAATACATACATACTGCCATTGCTAGCTGACGAGTATTCGACACGCATCAGAAGATGGTCACGCAGGGCGTTTTCTTTCATGAGCTTTTCTGTGACTGAAAAGCCCGATACGTGATGTTATCTATCGTGTCTACCGCACTCCGGACATTCAAAAACCTCATTACTCTGTTACCTCCTCACTTTTTGGTTGTCACTGTTAACTGAGTTTACAACTCTTCTCCATTCCGTTCTATTGTGAGCTGCTTCTTCCCACTCATTCTGCTTCTGCTTGTTAATCCCCTTTAAGTTTTTGTGAAAAATATCCTTGTATCTTTTGAGTTGTCCACCCGGCCCTCCTCTTATCGTCACTCAAGCTCACCGTAAAGCAGAGATTTTGGTATGTGGTTTTCTTGCATTCTGCATACGTGACCAGCCCATCTTAAGCTGGACTTTGTAATTATGACTTCAATACTCTCGCAGTTAGCTTTTTCAAGGACCGATACGTTTGAGACATGATGGAACCATTTGATTTGTCTAAGATGTCTGTGTTGCAACTTGTTTAATGCGTTCATATGTCGGCGGTACGGCACCCAGGTTTCGCTTCCATATAACATGGTGGGAATTATTATTGCTCGGTACACCGCAAGTTTCGTTTTTGTGCTTAAGTCATGATTGTAGAAAACTTTGTCTTTTAATTTCCAGAATGCTCTTGAGGCGCTGCTAATCTTGTGCTGAATTTCAGAGTCGATATTGGCCCTTTCCCCTTTCCTAAATCAAACTGCCGATGTAATTGAATTCCGCTACATATTCCAATAGTTCTTCTCCGATCTTTATAGCATTGTTGTGATCCTCGGGGGGAGAGCACATTATTTTAGTTTTATTGATGTTCAGCTTAAGTCCCAAGACCTCATATGCCCATGTATATGTGTTCAACATTGCTTGCAATTGCTATTTTGCAACTATTATCACGTATTTGCAACTAGAGCACAGTCATCAGCGTATTGAAGTTCTGTGATGAATTTTGTACGTGTTTTTGCCCTGAGTCTTTTTATGTTGAACAGACCGCCGTCGTATCTGTAATACCTCCCTCCTGCAGTTTGTTGTCCACTATAATAGAGAGCGCTGCTATGAATATATTGAATAGAAGAGGCGCTAAGACATATCCCTGCCTAACGCCTGTGCGCGCCTGTGTTTGTTAGGAAGGGATCGCTCAGTGATCCATGATATGACACTCTCATACACCATATGGTGGCCTCCCTGATTCCCGGATTTGTCCGTCCTCGATTTCTGATTTTGGGGATTTTTGAAATATGAAATGTATCCTGGCAACTACAATAATGTCGAACACCTGGAAAATGCTTTAATAATGCAAACTAATAATGCAAGCTTTTATATATTTGCAAACCCATCTCGTTATTCAACCAAAAAAAGTTCATTCCATTCATAAAAAAAGATTCACAGATTCAGTGGTAACAGTACAAAAGTAAAATATATCAATCCCAAATAAAATGTTAATATGTGTATGACTATTTTAGTAAATACCATTTTTCATTTTTGTTAGTTATCACGGCTAGATTAAGAAAATGTTATAGTTTAAATATTGCAGTAATTAGTGAAAATCGAGGTGAAAATAAATATAGAGTGATATATATTTTTGGGAAGCTCATATAGCAAGACGGGGGGTGGGGGGATCATATAATTTATAAATATACAGGGTGTTTATTTGAAAAAACATAACTTTAATGATCATATTTTCAAAAATATTTTTTCGTAGATAAACAGACTACGCCACTGTATTCATCGTAAAAATTTCTACAAGAATCAGTTTTCACCTTCTCGATATGATCCATAATAACGGAGATACGGGGGCTGTCCCAAATTGCAAAATTTTCGAGAAGACCCTGTAGCTCAGGAAATAAGAGGGCTATGAAAACTTTGTATAAGCATCTTTCGTTTGACAAAAAAGTAGGACAGGTTTGTGCAAACCGCATCCTTCTATCTTTACTAATAACGTATGATTTCAATCAAAATGGGACACCCTGTATACTTTAGCGTTGTTTAAAGAAACCATTTAAACCAAAATAAAATCAATGATAATCACTTAGAGAAGTTCATTTTTGATTATATCCCTTTAGATCTATTTTAACAACTTTCAATAACATTTCAATAATGCATGTTGGTTCTTAATGGAATGTTGACGTTCACAAGAATTTTTTTAATTACCTATAAAATTTTAGAGCTTCATATGCAAAAGCCAATATGAATATGCCTACCATAGATCCAATCAATCCTCCAATTGTGCTGAATTTCCAAAACTTGAACAAAACAGTGGCGGATTTTGAGAATTCAAACTAAAAACAATAAGTAGCATAATAAATTAGGAAAACGGCATGGCATGAGAAATTCTAGTGTTTTAAATCGATGATCGAAAAAAAACAGCGTCCAGTTGGCCTGGAAATGACTGTCGATGACATTTACCATTATACTTTTACGTATAAAATGACAGATATTATTAAATATGTTTTCAATTAAACAAAAATGTTTCAATGTAGTTTCAAAGATATTAATAAATAAATATGAAAAATTATGAAAAAAATATTAAAAATACAAGAAATGTCCTGAAATTAAAACTAAATTAGGTATTTACTTTAATGGGTCTGGACTTACTTTGCTATAAATATCGTGATATTAAACCATACAGGGTGTTCAAAATTCTATGTCAAACTTTCTAAAATATAAAACAATTTTTCTTCGTTTTTTAAAATGGTTTTAGATAACACCTAGTATATTATTTCTTTACTAGTTGAAGCCTGGCGCATCCGCCACGACATCGACGTCAGGAAAGAAATACTTTTTATTTTTTTTTTTAATTAAATGAAAAACAAAAAATCCGGCGACGACAGTTTTTAGAAAAACCAATTAGCTATCTCTTAGTAAAAAAAGCAACTTTCTAGAGCAAGTCGTTACTTCAATAGAGACGACACAGATAAACATTAGCATTTTATATATGCAGATTAGATGGAGAATGAAAAAATGATTTTTTTTTTGTATTTAAAGTATGGCAAAATTTTGAACGGTTTTGCGGACATTCCTGGTATTATATTACATTATTATGTGGTTATACTGGTTATATTACAGGAATTTTGTTTAAGTGCAAACCTAAACTATGTATTAGGACAATTTTTTAAAAAGTGTGAGTGGGTCGGGATGAATTTTTTTAAATGAAACACCCTGTATATTATTGCATTTTTGGCTTCCTTTTTGATCACTTTACATAATCCTATATTATTAAATATGTTTTGATAAATAAAAAAAATAAAAGATAATAATAAATAAATATAAAAAAAATATTTAAAAAAAATATTTAAAAAAAAATATTAAAAATACAAGAAATGTCTTGAAATCAAAACTATATTAGGTATTTACTGTAGTGGGTCTGTACTTATTTTGCCACAAATATAAACCAAACAGAGTGTTCAAAATTCTATGTCAAACTTTCTAAAATATAAAACAATTTTTCTTCGTTTTTTAAAATGGTTGTAGATTACTTTGTATATTATTTCCTTATTGAATTCAAAAGAAAAACACACTTATAGAATATAAAAAATCCAGACATAAATAAAGAAAAGATCAAATTAGAATTAAAAAATGAACAAGTATTATTTGTAAATAGTCACGTATCACGTCATAGCTCAATTCAAATTGTCAACAATGTAGAGTCCGTGGAAATTCATAACATTATTAATCAAAGGCTGCAAAATTTAGTAGATACTAGATACTGCCAAGAAAAAAAAACGAATCTAATACTCTTAGGTAATTAATATAGTAGAAAAATATTTCACAAATTAAGGTTTGTAATTAACATCTCAGGTATAAACAAAGTAAAATGCTTGTTTTATTGCCGTCTTAAGCTTTCTATACTTACAGTCATAGCCATAGTCATAGTCATATTCATATCCATATCCATATCCATATCCATTTTATGAGCACTGACTTTTTTATATTTAAATTCAATAGAAAGGGAACAATAAATCTTAAATACTTAGTCACTTGCTTTTGAAATACTCATAAATCTCAGATGAGTAAAACTTTTTGGTGTCGTTATCAATAAGACATAGTTACCTAAATACGTAAATAATTTGATAAGAGTAATCTGCTACTTACTACTTGCTGTTCATGAGTGAGTTTAAAATAGATATGAACAACCTCTCGAATTTTTAATATTAAAAAATATTGAAAAAAATACTATTAATTATTTTAAAATTTTTCAACAATTAAATACATAAGGAATCTCATGTACTCTTATATAGGGTGTCCCAGAAATAAGTGCAGATATTTTAACTGGTAGTATATTTGAATATTATTTTTATTTTTTGTTCTTTGACATTATAAACATTTATAAATGTTTATTTTAACAATAAGACTGACAATATTATTTGTATAATGTTTTGTATTATCTTTTGTTTGTTTGTTTGTGTACCTTGTTTTTTTACTTTGTTTGTTAGTTTACCTTTGTCTACAAATTGAAAAATATTTTGACAATAAAGGCATTTATTTATTTAATTTTAAATTTGTACACAAAACATTACGAGTATTAATTCTAATCATATCAGTGTTTATGACTAACAATTCTAGAAACAAACCACATTAATTATTTTTACGCATACCACATTTTTATATTTATTTTTAACTAAATGTACTTAAAAAATAACTACATTGCCATATGACGAAGTAGTTCCAATAAAAAAATGGCGTCGGGAGGCACGTATAGCCACCCATGTTAATATAAAGTTGGTAGGCAATTCGTTTAGTTTCAAAGTAAAGGATTTTTTCCAATTTTGGTCCGCGGTTAATTCCCCTATCCGCCACCTGGGGTCGCGTCCGATGGTAGTTTGGAGTTCTCGACACGGATTTTCTCAAAAACAGACTACCGAAACACGGAATATCTCAAAAACTGCGACTTTGACTGATTTTGATGTTATTACAAATTTTGTTGCAAATATTATTCTTAATCTTAAATTGAAAACCGCGTTTTGCTAGCTACTGCAATTTTGGAGTTACGATTTTTAAAAATGTTTAGCCTCCTCCCATACCCCCCTACCAACCCCCCACCCCCACCAAAAACTAATGGCCAGATTCTCGGGTGCCACAGTATTTTTGTGTCAAATTTGTTTAAAATCGGTTTAGCGGTTTTTGAGTTATCGTGTTACAGACGGACAGACGGACAGACACCATGAAAATATTTTGTATTTAGGTCATTTATGACCCAAATAACTCATTTGGAGTGAAATTAAAAAAACATTTTTTTTGCCGATCTTTTGAATGTTGGTATGGTCGGCTAAAAACATTCTTTTCAATATTTCGTTTGTTCTTACCCTTTCAATTAGAACCAAACTGTGTAAAATTATTCTTCGTATTACTGTGTTAAATTAGTGGTTTACGAAAAATCTTGAATAATAAATAATTATATTGCAAAATCACTTGATTTAGAACTAAATTTAATAAAATAATTTACCACATTATTCATACTGAAATCGCATAAAAGAAAATACCAACATGTTTATCGGAATTCATTATTCGGAACATCGACAAAATCAGACAAATAAACCGTATACGAACGACACACAACAACTCATTCCAGGGATTTCATATTTTGCTAATTATAGCATATATTATGATTATCGCCAGCGGTTCTCAAAATGTTGACATTCTTTATTTTTTTAATTGTCAAAGTTAAATAACTCGGTTATTTTTAATTTATTTTAAAAATGGTAAAGAGAAAGATGTTTCTTTTGATCAGATCTACCACCCTTTAAAATATCTGCACTTATTTCTGGGACGTACGTTAGACGTTCCTGGAAAACCGGTGATAGAATTTTTTTAAAAATTTGGAATTTTACATACAAGTCACCGCTCCATCCATCTAAAATATTTTCAGCGTTACAATATTGCCACATCATTGGAAAGTGGTAGCATGGTTCTTATTTTAAACAGAACACCCGGTATATTATTACAGTTTTGGAAACTACTTTCATAACACATAATGTTTCTGTTATACTAAAAAAACTTCAGGTAACACTAAGAAAAATTTTCTAGATATATTTTAATACATATTTTGTAAAGGACGCCTATCAAACCTATAGGTTAGATGAGATTTATATTAGGGCGATTTAAGTAAAATTACTGAAAATTTGATTACTCTTTTATTATATTTTTACTTACAAATTCGTGTACAGGGTGGGTCAAATTCGACGCTTTTAAATGGAAACACCCATTTCTATAGGAGATAGACAAAAACTAATATCGGTGTCTGGAGCTCAATTTTTGTCAACTTTGTAACTTTTTTGCTATGGAAAATTTTGTATTTTTATGAAATCATTTCCAAAACACCTTTTTACGTAGAATTTAATGGTTTAAGTATAACTTTTTTAAAATTAATAATTTAAAAATTATCAACAGAAAATTTGATTTTTTATAAGGTACACCCTGTATATTTTGAATTTATTGAAAAGAATTTAAAATTACCTTTCCAAAAATATAACACACTTGATATTTTGCTCGATTCCTCTTCGAGATATAGAGTATATAAAAATTCGCCCCCTTTAAATAAGTAGGCTTTGAACGGCACCAGCTGTAATGCAAAAAAATTCTAGCTGTGAGCATCAATTAAAACGAAAATAATATTTGCTATGAGATATGCAGAATTTTATAACAATTTAAAATATATTTAACCAACATCAACACATTTAAACTATATCTAATAACAATAAAAATAAATAGCAAACCAAGACATGAGATTTTGCTACAGGTGTTCGACATATCGACCGTCTTCTGTTATGGACAGACGGGACAGTTTTTGGTTTGGTTGCGAACATTTCTCTAACCGCAGAAATGATGCACCAGCGGAATATCATTATAGACAGGGCCGCCGCTACCATGTGTGCAAAGTGTGCGGTGCACACGGGCGGCCAAAAATAGAGGCGGCCAAAACAGGCACCATTGATTTTTTTTCTTAAATACAAATAACACAAAAATATGATTCTATTTTCCATAATAAAATTCTTATTAAATATTTTATGATCTCAGAATCATTTTTGATTACAAGCAGAGAAAAACAAAAGTCGGACAAAAATTTAAGATCTTCTACTTCACAAAAAGTTCTTTCTAAAGAAGATTCTATTTCAGAGCAAATTACTTCTGCTGCAGCTAGTGACATACATAATGAAAGGTCAAATGACAGTGATAGCAATAGTGCCAATAGTGATGCTGAAACCATAATCAACCTAGTTAATCCGGCGGTTCCGGCTTGCAATGTAGAAAGTTCCAGCCTATCTCGGTTTCGAACAATCCCGGAATATGTCCTGCGAAATTTAATCTAAATGAAGTTCAATTTTTTATTGAAAATTTTCCAACGCAAATTAAAAACTTTAACTTTCCCAGAGATAAAAATATCAGGAAATTTTCATTGAAAAATGACATCATAAGGGATATGAACACCGGAACGTTAGCAAAATCACTAAAATATATAATTTTTGGGTTTAAATTTATATTTTCTCTATTGTAATATGGCACGATATTTTAAGTAAAATTAATGTTGTTAGCAAAATTCTTCAGAGTTCAAAATTTGACATAAATCTTCACTAGATGCACTACATAATTTAAAAATTATTTCATAACCACCACGTTCTGATGAACATTTTCATCATTTTTTTGAAATGCGTCGAGAGAGAGAGAGCATTTAAGAAGCATTCCCCAGCTTACCTACCCAGCGGATTAGAAGAATAAAAGGAATTTTCTGTATGAAGGAACTGATGAATCCATATTGTGACCTGAATTGTCATTTAAAGTAAATTTTTACTTTAAAATTGTGGATAGCGCCATAATGGCAATTGAAGAACGGTACCAATTACTACAACAACACACATATATTTTCAATGTAATATATGGGATAACTAAAATTAAAAACGATGACGAAACTCAAAATCAATTGTGAGAAAATCCATCGAACCCTTAGAGACATACACAGCTAAGAGAGTGATATCAGTGAGTGCAACCATTTATTCGAAGAAAAAAATTAAAGCTTTTCAACCATATTTTAACAAAGAAAAAACCTAGTGAAATTCTTGAATACACTGTGTTTTTTTTTAATTGGATTAGGATCGAAAAAAAATCAACGATCCTAATCCAATTAAAAAAAACACAGTATATATTATTGGATCGACAACAATAAAAATTAGATTCTTTCAAAATTTCCAAATTTAACCATAATTATATCTATATTCCTAACTCTACCGGACTACTGGTTACTGTAGGTACGGATGAGCAGTCGTTCAAGATTTAAAATTATTAAAAAGTATTTAATATCGATCTTCGATGACGCAAGAAAGACTTTCTGATAGCTTTATTATCTATCGAACATAAGGTGTGTGCGACATTGGATATTAAAGATATCGTCAAAAAAATTCCGAAACGAAAGCCAGAGAAGTTCGATTTTAATAACTTTTATGTTATTTTGTTATATGTGTTTTATTTTATTGGACATTTATTTTTTTTTAATTTAGAGACTAGATTTGACTCTGCTGAATTATAACTTTAATTATTTGAGTAAGTACTTATTTTCGGGTATTATTGGTACATGTCTCGGGTAATAGAAACATAATATTATAAACTCACCGGCAAAAAAAACCGGCCACTAAAAACTAGACCCAATTTCAAAGTTGGATTTCTCGCGAACCACTCATTAGATTTTGATGATTTTTCTTTTAAATTGTAAATTAATTCCTTCTTAACGGATGTTAAGTCAGAAATTTTTATTCCGAATTTATTTTGAGCATATACAGGGCAATACGACGAAGACGAAGTTTTTTGCCTAAACTTTGTAACACCCTGTAGGGTGCAACAGAGGTAGTAGCTATTGCTAAATCAAATCACATTGTAGCCTCATCTTTTGTGAGCATTTTGTTTTTTTAATCACCATATTATCTCTTTTTGTATTGGAGATATGCTGTTTTAAAACGAACGTCTCGGAAAAATTCAGAATTCATCTCGGAAAAGGCACAAAGTAGTATGTGTAAATAATCAAGGCGACATGACATAGGCGAAAACGGATTTATGAGTATTTGCAATATGAGAAAAATGGTTGTCAAATTAAAAAATGCCATTATCGGTAACGGATGTT